CAGCCAGTAGGTGTTGTGTTTCTCAGGCGTTCCCTGCATTTTGTGTGCCATCTGTTCGTATAAGCATATACTATCCACTCTGTGTGTTACTTCCTCCTGAGTTGGGGGCATGTTGTGTTTCCATTTTGATGCTATCGCGACTTTGGCCGCGGTTAGTATAATTATGGCAATTGTCCGTGATGGATTTCTTGTTGGATTTGTCGTAGGTAGTATGTGAAGTAGGTAGTGTGCTGGGTTTAGTGGAATTGACAGGTTAGTGGTTTCCCGTATGATTTTTTGGATCGCGGTCCAAAATGGCTTTATGGCTGGGCAGTTCCAGAATATATGTAGTAGAGACCCTTGAAGTTGTTCGCATCTCCAGCATAGTGGGGAGGTGTTGGGGAATATCTTTGCCAATCTGAGGGGGACTAAATACCAACGCATTGCTATTTTACTATACGCTTCCCACAGAGAGAGGCTTTTGGATGCTCGTTTAGTGGCTTGAAAGGCTTCATACCATTGTTGTATAGAGATTGTCTCCCCTATGTCTTCCTCCCATTTTTCCATATAGGAGTGTTTGTGCATTGATTTTCTCCTTTCTAGTGCGTTATAGCATAAGGCTAGAGGTTTGATGGTGCGGGATGTTAAGATATACCAGGCTGAGGGTACTTCTAAGTGTGGTGTGGGTGCTGCCGGCTTAACGCGTGTTTGTAGTATATTTTTAACTCTTAGGTATTTAAAAATGTCCCTTGGGTTGAGGGAGAATTCGCTTTGCAGAGCGGGAAACGTTTTCAGTTCGTTTTGGGTGTATAAGTCTCTTACATTATGTATTCCTAGGTTTGACCATGTGTGGAGTGAGAGGTCGGGTGAACTGGCCTGCAGTGCTGTTAGCGGTGCTTCCTTAAGTAGTGTCTGTGCGTCTATTACCTCTGGGCCCCAACGTTCCCAAGTGTGTAATGTAGTTTGCGTGCACCATAGTCCCTTTTTACCTATGGTCTTAGGCTCGTGGGACCAGAGAGCATTTGGGATGGTGACTGGGTGTATGCAGGCATTTTCGAGGGCCAGCCATAGTGGAATCTGGTCAGCGCCCGTGGTTCGGATTATACGCAGGCTTTGTGCTAGGAGAGATGCTCGGTAGTAGTTGCGGATGTCTGGCACTCCTAGACCTCCTCTTGTATATGAAAGGCTTATTTTGGCAGCAGCCAGTCTGGGTGGTTTACGTTTCCATATGTGGGCATTGATTATAGTTTGGAACCTTTTTAACAGTTTGGCTGACAAGGGTATGGGAAGTGTACGGAAGAGATAGAGCACATGTGGCAGGATCATCATTTTGATAGTGTTAATGCGCCCCAACCATGATATCTCCAGCCTCTCCCACTCATTCATTTGGGTCATTAGTTTATGAATCATAGGCGTGTGATTTTCCGTGGTTAGTGAATGCACATTTTTCGTCAGTTTTATCCCCAAATATTGGATTGATTTTGTCCGCCAGTTGAATTTATGTGTCTCCTCCAGTGCTTTTATTATGTTACTTGGTAAGCCTATGGGGAGGGCTTGGGTTTTGGCTGCATTATTTTTATAGTATGATACCGACCCGTACGAGTTCAATGTTCTAGTGAGAGCCGGGATAGATTGTATCGGTTTTGTCATGAACACTATTATGTCGTCCGCAAAAAGGGCCAGTTTATGCTCCCCCGTAGGGGTGTTAAGCCCTCGGATTGAGGGATTGTTTTTTATTTTGTAGATCAGGGGTTCCAAGCATAGGATGAAAATGAGTGGGGAGAGTGGGCAACCCTGGCGAGTGCCATTGCGGATATGAAAGGTTTTTGAGAGGAATCCGGTGTTATATATTTTTGCCGAAGGGCAGCTATATAACGCCAGGATACTAGTTATGAAGGGTTGGGGAAATCCCATGATTTTGAGTGTTTTCGTCATGTATTCCCAGTTCAGGCGGTCGAACGCTTTTCCCTGTTGGTTTGATTTGTGTGCCCATTCTATTAGATTGATAAAGTGTCTTGTGTTGTCTCCTACCTGCCTTCCGGGGACAAACCCTGCTTGTTCTTTCGAGATTAATTTAGGTAGGACTGGTTTTATTCTGTTCGCTAGTAGCTTAGCATAAAGTTTAATATCAGCATTTAGCAGTGAAATGGGTCGGAGATTGGCACATATTGTGGGTGGTTTGTTGGGTTTTGGAAGGGTCACGATATGGGCTTCCAGCATTTCTGGCGGGACAACTCCTACTTTTTTGATATGGTTGAAAAGTTTAGTGAGGTGTGGGGTCAGAGTGTCTCCAAATATGTGGTAGTAGTGGTTTGTTAACCCATCCTGGCCTGGCGCTTTGCGTTTTGGTAGGGACTTTATTGTAGAGCGGATTTCTTCATCCGTGAATGGCTTTTCCATAGAGGCTTTCTGTTCTTGGGTTGGGGTCGGGAGAGTGATGCCATTAAAGAAGGCTTGTATGTCTCTCTTTGTGGGTTGGTGAGTGTTTCGGTCATTATCTAGTTGGTAGAGCATGGCGTAGTAGGAGGCTAGTTCCTCCACCATGTCTTGTGGGTTGAAGAGTTTGTCGCCTGTTGCGGACGTTATGTATGGCAATTTGGAGGCTTGATATCTTTTTTTAAGTCTCCTAGCTAGCAATTTTCCTGCTTTATTGCCCTCGACATAGTGGGTTTGTTTGAGATAGCGCATGTGCCTTTCGGTGTCGTTCAGGTCTATTGCATGTAGTTGGAGCCGTATTTGTTCTTATTGTTTCTGAGTGTGTTTTTTGGGTTGTTGCTTGTGTGAGGCTTCTAAAGTTGTGAGCTTCGATATCAGGTCATTTTTTTGCAAGCGTGTTCGCCGTTTGTTTCTAGCTCCCATTTGAATGAGTGCCCCTCTTATTACCACCTTGTGTGTTACCCATTGGGTCATAATGTCTGTTGTGCAGTTTGCATGGTTCTCAAAGAAGTCAGTGATTTGTTTATTTAAGGTTTTGGAGTTTTCTGGGTTGTCCACCAGAGCTTCGTTCATGCGCCATGTGCCCCTTCCACGAGCCGGGTACGGGACGCGAAGCGTAACCGTAAGCGGCGCGTGGTCAGACCATGTTATTGGTCCTATAGAGACGTCAATAAGGTGTATTAAGGTGCTTTTGTCAGTGAGGCATAGATCTATCCTATAATATGTCATGTGGACCGGGGAGTAATATGTATAGTCCCTGTCCGCGGGGTGGAGGCATCTCCATGAATCATAGAGGTCATGTAGCGTGATTAACTTGGTCAGGTGATGTCCTAGTGAGATAGACGTGTTTTTGGGGCCTTTGTTTCCCGTTCGTCTTACGTCTGCATATGGGTCAGTCGTGCAGTTAAAGTCACCACATAGGATTACATGGCCGCTCTTGTATCTGTCTAGTTTTCTCATTGCTGAGGTGAGAAAGGATTTTTGGCCCTCATTAGGTGCGTATAGTGAGGCTATAGTAATTTCTATACCATTTAAGGCTCCTACCAATATAAGTAGCCTGCCGTCCCTGTTGGAGTGCTGTTTGCTCATCGTGAATGCCCAATCATCGTGGAAGAATATAGAGACCCCTCTGGATTTAGTTGGGGAGAAGGCGTGGAAGGCTTGTGTATACTGTTTTACTGAGAATTTCGGTGGGTTGCGTTTACAAAAATGGGTTTCCTGCAGACAGGCAATTGCTGCCTTGGATGAGCGCAGTTCCTGCGCAGCTAACCTCCGTTTGTGGGGACTGTTAAGGCCTTTGACATTAAGAGAGAGTAATTGTAGTGTGTTAGCCATCAGGGTTGTGCTTCGGGGATTTGGGTGTAGTTAGTGCTAGGCATCCAACGGGGGGAGAACCTACTACGCCTTGTTTTAGATCTGCGTGTATCAGGTTGCGCCTCTAAGAATTGGCTCAGTGCTTTCATGGTGCGGGTGTGTTTGCATGGTTTCAGGTGGTATAGTCGGGTATTGGACAGTGGTAGGTACATGAACATATGCATAAACATTAATAAAAACGAAAAACATAAACAAAGTATATACATGATGCCCCTTGGGGTGCGGGCATTGTACTTGGTTGGTCTACGGGCCGCTCCTGGACCGAGCCGCGGATCAACCTGGGGGGCGTGAACTGAGGTGTACTACCGTGTCAACGGCCCTTTAAACAAATGTGAGAAGTAAGGCGTCTCGTTGTGTAGAAGGTTGTTAATCTACTATCGTGCTTTTTTTTTTTTTTTTTGTCGTCCTGCCAGGGCCTATGTGTGTCAATACATACATACATACATATTGGTTTCTCTTCAGTTGAGGGGTGTCACACATAGTTCTGGTCTTTCTTGTGCTGCTTACACTTAGTCCCGTTATACATTTTGCTGTGGTTACTGTGGCTTAGGCGAGCCCGCCATGTGCCATTCCGTCGGCAATCGTTGGTGCGTATGTGGTGTCTGTGTAGAAGGGTCCTTGGTCCCAAATAGTCCCCATTTTCGTAGAAGTTGTAGGCCCTCATCTGGGGTGTCGATATTATGGTGCTTGTTATCCTTCCATAGTAGGAGTTTAGTTGGGTAGCCCCAGCGGTATTGTATGTTATGGTTGCGTAAAGTCTTCGTGACTGTGATGAATTCCCGTCTTCTTTCCATGGTGAGCGCTGATAGATCTGCGTATACCTGGATGCCTTGGTACGGTGAGGGGAGTTGCTGTTGTTTGCGCGCCGCGACCATCAGTGTTTCTTTTGACTTGAAATAGTGGAATCTGACCACCGTGTCTTTTGGTGTGTCATTTGCAAATCGCGGTGGCCGAGGAATGCGGTGTGCCCTGTCCATAAGCCACCTGTCCTTCTCTATGGCCGGTGCCAGAGTGGTGCAGAGGCCTATTATATAGTCCGGGAGTGCGTCATGGGATACGCTGTCAGGGATGCCTCTGAATCTCACATTATTGCGCCTGGAGCGGTCTTCTATGTCTGCCATTTTTCTTTTCAGCAGTAGGTGTTCTTCACGGAGCGCTTGCAGTTGTTCTGCGAGGTCATTTTGTGTGGCGCACATTTCCTCTGTCCGTACCTCCAGGCGGTCTGTGCGGTCTCCAATGTCGGCCAGTTCCCGTTTAAATTCTGCAGTCATTAGTTTCATGTCCGCATTTAAAGTGGTTCTTAGTTCTTGCAGCATAATAAACAGCCTTTTTTCACTGGCTGGTGCCTCTGTGTAGGAGGAGGACGTTGTGTCAGTGTCTGAGAGCTGATCTGGTGTGGGATAGCAGCCCATGCTGTCGTCGCCATCTTGCAGAGGCCTGCTTTTGTCTTTTCTGGCGGGTTTTATTTGGTCCGTCATTTTTAATTGCTTGGACGGTGCCATGTTGCCCTTTCAAGTGCCGGGTGAGTTATTACCGGGTATTGACCTTCGGATTCGCCTGATCGCTGCGTTTGGGTCCATTGTAGCCGGGAGCTCCTATTCCATCCGACCGCTCGCGCCAGGCTGTCGGACACGCCCCCCCATACGAACTGAATTCTGAGTAATGATCTCAAGTTTTTACACTCCAGAAGCGACTCACATTTTGTGCTTTCCATCTCAGAATTATTAAAAATATTATATTGATGGTGCCTAGATCCAGCAAAATTAATTCATGTAGCCTAAAACTTATATAATCTCTGTTTGAGATATTGATGTGAAGTCGGCACTATGCTCAACATACGATGGACTTGCTTTCTTCTAAAAACGTATTGGTCGATGGTGACTCTGTTAGTATCAAAACCAATGAGGGAAACATGAGAAAATGCCATTACCAACTCAATTTGGTTAGGGCTATAAGACCTGCCTGCAGTTTGTGGGATGCCATCCGCAAGATAGCGAACTATATTTTAATAGCTAATTCCTTCTGCCATAGGTCTAAATTATGTATCTTTCTTAAAATGTGCTGGTACTTCTACTATGTGTACTCTGTTTAGCTACCGTTGCTCATTGGGATCAATGATCTGTCAAATGTCAAGCCTTTCCATTTCTTCTATGTTACTTTTTTCTGACTTTGACTATATTATTTGATTATTTTTTATAACAAATATACTTCTAATGTGTGGTGTATCAATGTGGGCTATATTGTTATTGTATGTATTTAAACTTAATACATTTTCAAATTGAAAAAGAAAATTGTAAAATGTAATAAAGTTTACAAATTAAAAAAGTTGCATTGGTGATCAGAGTGTCCCTTTAAGAGTAATGCTCTAGACATAATCACATTGTTGCACTGATCCATTTATTTACCACTTTTCAAATCTTCACCATTGTGTATACACTTGAGCCTTGGTAACATCAGCCATGATTCATTCCTCAGGTAATGTCAGTTTATATGGATGATGAATCCATTGTACTGTTCCTGGCAAATGTTTCACTGAAATGTATTCAACACCTCTATTTGTCATTAATACAACATTTACATGATCTGACAAATGCATAATAATGTGAGTGTCTTCAAGTAACAGAAGAGTATGAAACCTCATTTGTACCTCACAACTTTTCCATGTTTCATATTTTTCCAAAGACAAATTAGATACCACCCAGAATGCATATGTGCATGTTTTACCCACAAATTTCATGAAAAATATTGCCAAACATGAACTTCCTGGGTAATATGTAAGTCATCACTCACAAGGACCTCCCAGGTTTTCTTGAGGGGTCAATGGCGCAGACTGCCATAGAAAAAATGTTAATGAAACAAATACGTTAAAATGACCTCCTGCTCCACTCTATAACTTGTCCAACTGATAAATGGCACAAATATATATCATGCCATTTAATAACGAAATGATGGGATCTTTTGTACTGGTCAGCTGTGACAGCAAAAACATTTTTTAAATATGAAGGCATTAAGATCTGTTGAATGACTTGACCTAATGTGAAATAACTGTTATCAGTCAAACTGGAAATGTGTCGGCTTAAATTGGCCTAGGATATGTACATAGCATATAAATTCTCTTTGTTCATCACATTTATTCTACTGATGAGACATGCCTCCCAACGTCCCTTTAGAATTGTAACCATGACATACCATACTTAACAAGGCTCTAACTGTGTTCCACTGTAACAGAACCAAAACACATGGCTTGTAACATAACTTTGACACTTACAACACTCACGAGTTTGGAAATGATGCACTCTCTAAAAAACATGTGTTAACCACTTCTCATACCCAAACAAGCATATAAGCCCCATCTTGAAATAGATTATCATGTACAATAGCTGTAAATTTGTTTGTTAGACAGTTTTTTTTAATCCATTATAAATTTCATTTTTTTTCTGCACAGGCATCCGATGCAAAATCTTTCTGTCTTTATTCCCAGATTGCCTTGGTTGGAGGTCAGAGAGGGGGTTTTAGATGGCTGAACCACAGCTGTTGTTTTCCCAACTACTGGAATGTAATATAGACAACATATCCTACATAAAAGAGAAAAATGTTTGTACTCCTTCTGGACTTCTTGAAAGTAGAAACAAATTATGATTATATTACCAGCAGAGGTGCTGTATGTTATATATTTTGATATCCATGTACATATAATTTTTTATATAAAACAAGTCTTTCAAATGATGCATCCTCTGCCTGTTTGTAGAAAAAGAAACAGATTGGTAGTGTATTTTATTGTTTACTTCCATAAAAGTTAGTGTTGCTTAACTATCAGTTTAAAATATATAAAATTGCAGGCTGTAAAGTATAAGTTTCTCCCTATAAATTATTCAGAAAAAGAAAAAAATCTTGGGTCTGAAAACTTGACGTGCAGCAGTGTTTTTATGACATTTATTGAATAAGTTTGGTAAATTCTGGACAGATCGTTTCGTTTGGATGTGGATTAATAGGAATGTGATTTGCTTGACATTAGGGCTCCCATTCCGCAGAGGTGGTCCATGCATTATTACCTGATCACTATGGAAAATAATCGCAGCAGGGAATTTTAAAACTTTATCTGCTCATTAAAATAATAAGCAGATCAAGTAATATTACAGTTTACAGCGAGTGGACTGTTATTGGTGTAATGTAATTTCCTAGTCACTTTAGGAATATTATTTTAACCAAATTCTTTGAATTATGGATGCCCGATAAACACATAGAAACCCTATAAAATGCAGCCTTGACTTCAAGAGTTTGTGTTTGTTTCTTTCTCAAATTAGATTATCACTAGCAACAATAAATCAAGAATAACGCACCAAGCTTGTAAGTTATTCTAATGTTCCATTTTATGTAAGTTTGTAGCCACTTGCTAAGCATTGTGGGATGCCACGACTTGCATTTCCATTTTTTATCCACAATGCTGAAGTAGACAAACACGACCTTCAGGTAAAATTATATTTGTTTCTCACTTCTCCAGCAAAATATGTATATTAGAAAAATATGAACACGTAAATGGAGCCTATTCAAGCACGTGTTTTGGAGTATCAAAATTGTGGCAGGTCACGTGATTGAATTACTTTGCTTTAGAGGCAAGTGCTAGCAGGTTAGATAGTAGATGTATTTAAATATGACAGACAGCCTTACTTACTAAAGTGAGAATTGTCAGGAATTCAAAGTGAATTTTATATTAAACACCAAATAGCCAAACTGGAAAAATTCCAGTTTGTTTTCAGTTTGGCTATTTATGTAAAAATCACTTTAAATTTCCGATAGTCCTCACTTTAGTGAATAACCCTGAGAGTCTTCATAAATTACATGGCAAAGTCTGCTGCTTGTGTTTCGTGTGCAAACTCTAGAATGAAACATTTTAATTGTGAGTTACCTCGGTTCATGCAACATATTGAAATGTTTGAAGGATCCATACAAAGCATCTATCTCCCGAACTGATCTATTTTGCACATCTCATAAAATGACATCTTTAAAAATAAAATTTGAAAAGAGAGTAGTTTTTAATTTTCATGGTAACTTCAGAACATCAGTTAAGTTAAGGAACACCTGTTTTAATGGCAGAGAAAAGGACAAAATAAATAACTTAAATTTTTACAGTCCAGTTATTGACCAGATGTTTGAGGTCTAACACATCACTCTGCTGTGTATCAATCTGCATGAAAATGTACTCTAGCTTAGATATATATGGGGCACAAATAAAGTAAATTAGACTGCATATGCACATATTTCTGCCATGTGTTGGCATGGTTAGACTTTAATTTTTTTTTAAAGCATAATTTTTCACTTAATTTGACGGATTTTGTTGTCACATAAATTAACCGATTCTTGCAAAACATCCATAAGAAAGGCATCTCTAATAAATGTTCACATAAATTTTTGCTACAGGCAATTCTTCATTTTACACTGTTGTAGTCATATATTGATCTGCCACCTGGCTGTGGTCCTTTTAATGTGGGAACATTAAATTCCTCTCACTTGGAATGTACGATAGTTTCTCAAGATGATGCACCTGACACTAAAAAGCAGTTCACAAGACGGCTTAGAAGATAAATTAATCCCTTGGGAAGACCCCTTGCTTTGTGTTACAACTCAGAGCGATCCTCAGATCCAGCTCATCATTGACAACCCTCTGCTTCACATTTGGCATCCTTCATGACTTCAACAAAATGAGTGGGGTCAACAAGTCAAATGACTTCCTCACATGCTTCTGCCATTACTAAAGGGATTGAGGAAGTAATGTGTTTGAAATGGAAGGATAATGATAGCACTAGTTACAGGAGAGGACTGACACCGTTTGGCCCAGCTGGCAAGAACAGTCCAGTGGCCTTGTAGGTCACTTTCACATTTAATATTTCATATGTAAAAAAACAAGCGGGCCAACAGAAATACCAAGCGAGTCAACATTTTAAACTTTAAAACTGGAGAGCATATATGCACCACACATTATTTTTCGGAAACATACAAATTAAAAAAACAAAAAAACACCAGACTTAATTGTTTATTCACTTTTATTTTTCACCATGAACCAGTAAGCATAGTATTAATATAAGATACACAAGGCAATGGTAGACAGATAATTTTCAAGCACCCCCACAACCCTGCCCTCTACTTTTCTAAAAAATAAAAAATGAGTTGATTAGTTAAATATGATACAAAGTGTTGTATATATGCACACAGGATTACAAAGTACATGTTTCTGTGAGAGTATATGCAAATATCTACGTATTGATTTTGTGTGTATAGCAGTGTGTGTATATGTCTGTGTGAGAATATATGCCTGTGTGTACGTATATGTCTGTGTGTGTAATGGTAAGAGTGTGGTTAGTAGACTGTGTAATATATGTGTCTGTGTGAGTTTGGGTTGCAGCATGTGTTGTAGTGTGTGTAGCTGTGTGGGTATATGTAGCAGACAGTGTAGAAGTGGTGGCTCATCAATAAGAGTAGTACAACTAGACAATTGTTGTCATAA